TTTTCCAAATTAAAAAAATAACCCCGATTTCATGTACGCCAATTCCTACCCATGAAAAATAGAGAGAAAAGATCGCTTCCTAGGAAAATTATGTTGAGAAAAAATGACTGAAGAAAAGATAAGTGGACCATAATAAACTTATGTATTTTTTGTGAGAACATTGAGTATGCTGAATTTGGAAGGAAAAAACACGCTGATTTTGTAAATTTAAATTGAAATTTACCCTTAAAAAGGAAAAATATTTAGTAAAATCAAAGTCTTCCAATTGCTTGGTTTTGGCTTAAACTGGTGATGTGAAATGGAAAGGCGGGAGGAAGAGATCAGAAAGGGAAAAAGGGAGAAGGGAAGAGATAGAAGAAATTGGAACAGGAAAGAAAACCAGAAAAAAAAAATGATAACTGTTAATCTGATTTAATATTTAAGTCTATTTTGCCGTAGAATAAAAATCTAGATCTACCTATACTGAAATAATAATAAAAATGAAAATAATAATAACAACTAATTCTAAAAATAAAAATACCAATAAATCTAAATAAATTCTAAAAAATAATAAATCTAGATAATTTAAATATCCTATAAATATAATAAAATCATAATTATTTCTTATCCCATATGTCATCAACTGGACTCTTGTTTGAGTTCAACCTCTCCAACTATGACCCGTTTGCGAAAAGTCTTTGTTTACAGACTGAACTAATGCAAGACAAATAGATTTGTCGGTTACTTGACTAATTACAATTTGTATTATAAAATAAATTTTATATTTAGAACCGGAGAAATACTATTTACTTGTTATGCGACTTTTGAGCACTAGTATTTTTTCCTTGACACCTCGTAGTAATTTCTCATAAATTTATCCTCTTTCCTCCCGTTGAATCTAATCCAACCCATTTTTCCTGGCCCAAGGCTATTTAAATAGTTGAAGGCCCTTGGTCGTTTCCAGATATTCCAACTTTTTAATATTATTAACATTAATAAACCCATTCATTACATTTGATGTGTTGATTTCTTGGTCTATTGAAGCCTTTCGTTTTAATTGCTCTCCCACCAAAAACAAACCCAACACATGGCTCTTTTTCTCAGTTTGTTGCTGTTTGCACTCGTTTTCTCCTTTCCTATGATACACCGCGGCGGATTTGTTTCTCAAAATCTACCAATTCATTTGTCCACAAAGAAGCCCCGAAAACACAAATCAAGCACTTGTCACTGTTTGGATACAATCCATGAACACTAGTGCATGAGGATTTTACACACTGGTTCGTGTAAAAAATACGTGCATCGGTATTTTTCAAATAAGTAATAATTTTCGCAGACTTTTCACACCAGTTCTTATATTAACTGGCGCATGCAATCCGTGCAGAAAGGAAGAGAATTTTTTTTAGAAAAAAAATTAATTACTTTTTACATTGTTTATAAACTTAACAGTGATAGAAACCTTTTTAAAAAATAAATTAATTATTTTATACATCTTTTAAGCTTAACTGATCTAATTTTTAAAAAAAAATTGAAAAAAATTTAACTTTTTTACATTATTTTTATTGAGTATATACTCAGTACTTATTTTTTATTTTTTTATTGAGTCCATTTTTTCCTCCTTTTTTGACCAACACTATTGAATGATCAATTGATTTTTTTTTTAATGTGAAAAAAAATGTGGCAAGTGAAAGAAACTAGCTGTTAACCATTAATTTGCAGCCTAAACACGCGGATGCCTTCTTTTCAAAGTTGAATTGGTTTGTAGAGGACAAAGCAAACTGACTTGACCCATCAAGTAATAGGGGCCAAATTTCACGGCTACCTTATCTTTGTTCTGAAATTCCATGATTGAGCACTGATTTGTTCATCTTTATGACAAAGCCATGACATTAGTTGGCCAAAATTCTTTCATGGAAACTGTTAAATTATGTGATGTCATCAATAGTTTTTCCAAAATGACTGTATAATTTCATATGCTTTAAGTAATTTTTATTAGCCTAACAATATAATTAGCATGACTTTGGAACAAAAAAAAAAAGAATTGGTGAAGAGTATGGATCAAAGGTCGTTAATATATTTTCAATTTATTCGAATATATGTGACAACTGGAATTATACATAGATGAAGTTAACAAGAAGTTATGGAGCAAGACTATAATTTCTGAAGTGAATATGACATATGCCGGTCCATATGGGTTGATCCTTAGAATGGGCATTTGTGGACCCTAATTCAAGTGAAAAGATCTTTGCGAGACTTTTCAACATATGGAAATTTTGAGGGGAAAAAACAAATTTGTTCTCTATTTAGATTGAAACCAAATTTTCATTTACGCCATCTGAGTAAAAAATATAATCTTATAGTTGATAGTTTATGCCTTCATAAGTATCTTTGCTAATTTGTTTACCTTTATATATACGCGCGCGCACATTCTCCATGTATAATTTTTTATCTATGATAAATAATTTTATTGAAAAATTATAATCTCAAAAATCGATGGCCTTTTCTCTCTATGATTTGCTCGCTACGCCTCGTCTTCTTTGAATAGAAAGTTTTTCAAAAAAAAAAAAAAACGTTACCATTCATCTTCTTTGAATGGACGGGAGAAAAAACTGAAAAATAAATAATTAATTGATTAATTAAAATATATTTACCCTCTACTAAAATGCTTTATATTTAAAATCAAATTAAATTTAACAATGAAAAAAAATTATATTAAGAGCATCATTATGTCACTGCCCATTGGCATATTGAAAATTAAAAAAAAAAAAAGTTTACATTTCATTTTCCAGAAATTTTATGTAGTTAGCTCCCACTTATTTTCAACACCAATTTGTAAAGTAGAAGTTTGAAAATAAAATAAAAATTAGTAAAATAAACCTAATTCCACGTACGCTAATCCCTACATATGAAAAATCGGAAGAAAAAGACCCCTGCCAAGGAAATTTTCATTTAATTAATAATAATACTCACAACAATCTTTATACAATTAAATACTACATCCAATCCTTAACATAAGAGCTAGTTTGGCTTTCAATTTTAGTCCCAAATATAATATCTCAATTCATTTTTCTATCATATTTATCTATTTATTCCAAACTAGTTCTTGTAGTAATTACACATGTTAAATATTCTATCAAATAATGGTTCTAGCTAATACATATAATTAGCAAGGATATTTTATGAAAGAAAATATATATTTATTACAAATAACTAACACAACAAACTTTTTAATCTATTCAAATTAGTCAACTAACTCTTATATTAAGGACTGGATATAATATTTGTTAAAACCAAAACATACGTGCGACTGGACAAGTTTAATTTATTTAAATATGAGAAACAACGATCCATGTGAGTTGATGTTTAGAATAGGCACTTGTGGTCACTAATTCAAGAGAAAAGGCCAGGGTCATTATTAAGAGAAAAATATAAAATTCGAATATGGTGGAATATTTTTTTGCCCATCGAGTGAAAAAGATCTTTGTGACACTTTTGAATATGAGGAATTTTCAAGGTTAAAAAAAGGGTCGTTGTCTGTTTAAATTGAAATCAGCCATCCAATGACAAATTATGTTGAGAGAACAATGACTGAAGAAGAGACAAGTGGACAACAAACCCATTCATTCAGAGAACAATTGAGTATGCCAGATTTTTGAAGGGGAAAAACAAATTTTTTAATTTAAATTGAGATTTAACCTTAAAAGGAAAAATATTAGTAAAACAAAGTCTTTGATTGATGTTATGGCTTTGAAAAAAGGTCAGGGAAGCTTATATATAATCTTCACATTTCGCCTTAACATTTCTTGGGTGAGAAACAAAAACAAAAAAATGAAAACGGGGTTATATATGGACAAAGCCTGAGCCCAAACCCTTCTTTTCCAGCTTATCAGGGTCAGGACTAAAAGTCCGGTTACAGTAAAAAGTCCTAATTTTCACATCGCCCCCAGGGAAAAAATATAGGATTATTCGATAACCCGATAAACTAACCTATATTCTTGAATCTACTTCTGAGCTAGCATTTATAAGATTATGAGTTCAAATTTTATTATCAATGTAAAAAGTTTGTTGATCGATAATTTATAAATTTTCTCCCCCCTAAAGTCTAAATCTAGAGGCATATGCCTTGTCTCTGAGGTGAGTCCTGTGGACCTAATTACCTAAATTATTCTAAAAAAATTCTAAGAAAAATGACTAGTCTTTGTCCATTGTTATGTCATGAAGGAAAAACAAAAGCCAGTTATGCCAAGGATAGTGGATGGAATGGTCTAGACGCGTCTATCCTACATCAGAGAAAAGCCAGACCAGTTATGTCAAGAATTCTCTGCCATGGCAAACCTCTCGTTGTATATTCTCTTGCTTCATTTTTATTTTATTTCAATTTTTACTTCTAACACTATTAATATAATCATAAAAATATATGGTAATTATTAAACATCATTTGGTCAGGTTAGCTTCTCTTTTGTTCTACTAACAGAGAACATTTCGCTTGGAGAAAAAGACTGAGAAAACTTAGAAACAAAAGTTGTGGAGAGAAAATTTGCAGCCAACTCAAGTGAAGTTTATCTTTAGTTTTCTATCAGATATCTTTCGGTTTATTCTCTCACATTCTTTTTTTATAGAAATTTTGAAGAGAAAACATGACTAAAAGAAAATGCGAAAATTGCTGAGAGAACTTTTCTTCATCTCGATTTTGTGAGAAACAGCTGCGATGAAAACATTGTTTTGAATTAAACTTGAATTGAAAGTAAGCATACTGGAAAAGAGCACTTAGTTTCCAACTACATTTATTTGCTTAATTTTCTCTGCCTTTTCTCTATCTGGCGATTCATCCAGTTGGGATCATATCAACGTGGGGGAGGTCCCCTAATCTCAAATAAATTTAAGAAAATTAAAATAAACATGTGAATATAATTCTAGCTAATTTATTTTTGGACAAAACTTAGGTCCAGTTTATTAGGTCCATTATGTCCATTGCTCCAATAAAATTCTGCCACATGTATTATTATTCCACATTAGCACTTAACCCCAAACGTTCTTTCGAACCACCGTTAGTAGGCACCGTCGATGCTGCTGCTTCAGCTTCCTCTCTGACAAGTGCCCCTCCTGCCATTGGTCTCTCCCCTGTTCTTGGGAGATCAGCCCCTCTGGGCGTTCAGCACCACTTTCTTCTTCTCCGGCGAGAACACAACAGCGAGCACCCACAATCTTTGTCATGTTCTTCGACGGAAGACCTAGAGAAGAAGCTATTGAGAAGCAGCCAGATTCATCTTCTTCTTTAGCAACAGTGGTAGCCACAGGCTAAGCAAACTGCAGAAGCGACGACGATATGGTTGTGGGTTAAAATTTTCTTCTTTTTTTTCCCAGATTGCATAAGCTTCTTCTGCAATTCCGTAACTAGCCCCATAAGACAAAAATTTTCAAGGAAAAGGAGCCATTGTTTCTCTAGATTCCGACGACATTGTTTGTATTTCGATTAGGTTTCATTTCTAGAAATTTGGACAGCAAAATCAGGTCTTGTTTCTCTAGATTGTGAAAGATATGAGACCATATATGTCCAACAATATGCTTCGCTTCTGCTTTTTCCAGATTACGCCAAATCTACCTTCAACATTGGCATATTTTCCCATAACAAAATCATAGTTTGTTTCTCCAGATTCACTGGTATTGCTTGCTTTTGATAGATGTTTTTGTTAATTATGGAATCTGATTGATTTTGTTAATTTTGATTATGGATTTTAAATTCTGACATATATTGTCCACAAATCAAGTGTATTTTGTTTATTTAGCGGCCTGAGCAAATTTTGTTGATTCTGGAGGAATACGAAGCGGAGGAGTCAGGAGAGAGACTGATTTTAAGGATGACAGTAACAATAACGGCGGGTTAAGAGAGCGTTTGGGGTTAAGTGATGACGTGGAAAAATAATACATGTGGCAGTATTTTATTGGAGGAATGGACATAATGGACCTAATAAACTGGATGTAAGTTTTGTCCTTTATTTTTTATATTTAATTTAATGAATAGATTTTCTAAACTGTCTTTTGAAATGTATGGCAAAAGGGAAGTTGATGATAATTTTTTTAAAAAAAATATGAACTCCTGGTTTATCATATATTTACATAGTTGATTATTTGTCATATTTTATGCTTCAATAATGTAACTAGCGTAAGCTTTACTTCCTCGAACTTCATTGTTTGAGTCAAAGTCACAGGATGGATAAGAATGAAAAGCTACATATTTAATTAGGGCAAGTTAAACGAATTATTAAATGGATGGATGAGATTATATATGTACGGGTCAAGATAATTTGTTTTGTTATTTTGATCATTCTACGCCACCTGTGCCATGGTTTTTACCAATAATTTTCATATAACATCAAAAAATACGCACACTGAATTAAAATAGATCTAGAATAAATTGAAGTATAATTACCTTGAAGCAAGCCTTAATCCCTTGGAAGCATAAGATGAAGAAGATGTTGGAGATAATAACAATCAACTGGAGCCAAGAGTCACTCATTTTCATAAAGGCTAGGGCAACACACACACAAACACACACACACGTGTGTGTGTGTGTAATTGTGACGATGTCAAATTTCTGCATATCAAACTTAAATAAGAGATGCTTTAAAAAAAAACACTTAGTTGAATATTCAAACCTATTACGGTCTATTCAAATTGATCCAGCTCCAATTGATTGAAGTACATAATATTCAATGAGTTCAATATATAAATAAAATATGGTCAATAAATTAATACTAATTCACAAAATAATTCCAATGTACACCCCCTAAAAAAAAGAAATAAAAAGTTATTAGTGGTATGAGTTTTATTCTGACAAAACGATCTCCGTAGAGTCATTTAAGTTTATTTATCTGTGAAGATATTAAAATTGAAAATGCGATGCATAATTCTTACCAAACTTGACTATTGTGTCCATTGTATATTTTTAATCATATTCAATGAGTTCAATATATTTTTAATCATTGAATATTCAATGAGTTCAATATATAAATAAAATATGGTCAATAAATTAATACTAATTCACAAAATAATTCCAATGTACACCCCCTAAAAAAAAGAAATAAAAAGTTATTAGTGGTATGAGTTTTATTCTGACAAAACGATCTCCGTAGAATCATTTAAGTTTATTTATCTGTGAAGATATTAAAATTGAAAATGCGATGCATAATTCTTACCAAACTTGACTATTGTGTCCATTGTATATTTTTAATCATATAAGTTTTTTAATAATAAGTGAGTATCATGGACCTATTATCATTTTTTGCGCTCAAACTCGTTATTGTTTAAAACTCACTTCTTATGTTGATAATTATAATTAGGAAAGGTGGATCTCTCTATATTTATCAATCCAAGTCTTTTTTCTCACTATCTTTATATGGTTAATTTCCTTAACATTTTCCCTATCAATTAGTACGTGGTGAGTCAGCAGGGCGGCGTCATGCATGCAAACTTCGTCCAATAGTCAGTGGTAGACTTAGAAAATAATGAACCAACACAAGCCAATTAAAAAAGAGCAAGTAGTGTTGGCAAACAGAAAAAAGCAAGTAGTAAAGCTCAATTAGCACGCTAATTAAAAAGAAGCGTCAGACACGAAAATTAATGAATGATAGTACTTTTCACAAGATAATGAGCCAGGATTAATTATCAGCGGATGAAATGGTTTAGAGTTTAGACGTGTCTATTTTACTTCAGAGCTATCTGTTATACTAGCTTTGACTCTTAATATAAGAGCTAAACAATTAATTTTAAAAAATTAAAAAAATAATTAAATTAGTTATTTGTAACAAATCTTTGTTTTGTTCTTTTGATCATTCTGTGCACTTGTGTCATGGTTAATAATTTTCATATAACACTGAATTAAAATAGAGCTAGAATGAGTTCAAATAATTACATTAAAGCAAGCTTTTATCCATAGAAATGGAAGCTCCTTGGAAAGGATTAGGCTCCGTGGCGGATTCAGACAAGCGCTGTGACGTCTTATACAGAATGTCTCTCCTTCTTTTCTGTTTTAGAGGCCGCAGTCGATTGTTTTAGGCACCATGGCCGATAATGCATTTTTGGCCTCCTTCACTTGGTTCTGCCATCCTTGCTTGCTCTGCGTTCCTAATCTTCCTCTGATTAACCAAAATAGGTTAAATATTTCTCCTTGTTGTTCATCGTCCAACTCTCGCTATTTCCTTTGCACATATAATCCCCAAATGTTAGCACAAATCAAGCTTCACATTTTCAAGTTATATTTTCTAGCTTTAAAGGAATAATCCTGCACAATTAGTCTCCAAAACCCACAAAAGATGGTTAAAACAAGCTAAATTGGTAAGAATTTTGAGAGGTTATCAATAACTTGAAGTCAACAAGTCTTCTCTTTCCCATTATCTTTATTTGCTTAATTTTCTCAGCTTTTTCTCCATCTGACTGGTCAAGCAAGGTGGGATCATAATGTAGGGGAGATCACTAATCTCAAATAAATTTAACAAAATTAAAGGAAAAACAGGAGAAAACAATTATCCATGATATTTTTTATTTATAATTTAATGAATAAATTATGCTAATTTTCTTTTAAAGTGGATAGCAAAATGCAGGTTGACGATAATTAAAAACTTATGAAATCCTGGTTTATCATATATTTATATGCGTGATCATATGTCATGTTTTATGCTTCAATTTAATACACCAGCTTAAGTTTTAAGTCCAGGACCTCACTGTTCGAGTCAACGTCACTACAAATAGTATAAGAATGAAGAGCTGTGTTACAAATTCCACAAATAATAAATGACAAATTGATTGATCTCTAGAAATATGGATGCATCGCTGGTTAAAAAAAAAAAAAAAGTATTGGCGATCGACTTATGTCATGCATTACATCATCAAGACAAACTCAATCTAGACATAGATGTTGCTTTGGATTTCTGAAAAACCACATAAATTGAAAGAATTTTTTTTAAAATTAAGTTACAAAATGGAGGGATTATTATTAATATTAAAAAAAACTATTCATGAAGAATTCTTGTTGGTAAAACAAGGTTAATATAATTTTTTTATTTCTCATCTTTGCTCTCATTTTAGTTGTTGTTTTTCCAGTTTCAAAACATAGGTTTTGGTCATTCAAGTTTTATTTTATTTAAATATTAATTCTTATAATCTAACAAAAACTCAAACTATTTTGTCTCTCAAGGGACCAAAATTTATAATTTGAAATTTGAAAGACTATAACCAAAACGAGAACAATTTGAAGGTAAAAAAAATTATATTAATTCCCAAAAAAAAGAACTCTTGGTTGGCGGAGAAAACAATCACGCGAAGTAGCCAATGGTTGTTACGTGTGAAAATCTGGCGGAAAAGAGAAAGGTGAGAGTTGAAATGGAGACGCAGCATTAAGTCAACACTCCAAATAAAAGTCATCACCTCCCACGACGGATGTGAGAAGAAATTTATTATTGAGCAATTTATAAGTATCTCTATAAGTGTTTTTTCTGAGTATGTGTGGTAAAGAAATGTTTTAGAACCGTGTGATACTAAATGTATTAATATTAAAATAATTAATTACATGAAAAAAATGAAACTAACAAAGAATTTAAGATATCCTTTAAATGTCTATTATAATTTTACAATTATAGAAATAAGTCATAAGTGTTACTTGTTTCTTGTAAAAAAGAAACTCAGGGAGCATATCTATCAATTAATAATATGTATGAAAGATCCACAAATATTTACCCTCCTTGGATTGCAATCTATTGATATGTTTCTTTTTACTCAATTTTAAGATTTTTTTTAATTTCGATAAAAAAAAAATACTTAAAGTGTCTTATAAACGGAATTGAAGCGAAAAATATGAGAAAAGCTCTATGAAAACAAAAGTGAGCAGTTTTTGAAGCCCAGCTCAAGAAATTTGTTTAACTTCAAGGACAGCAGGAAGGAAAGGATCATCGTCAATGATGCACGCAGTTTAACTCGGATACAAAAACTATAAAGTGTACAAATCTCTTTCGTTTTTTTATAAATTGACATAAATAATGCTGAAGCCCAATCCATGGAATAGATCTGCAAATCATATGTTTTTTTTTTACGCTTCTTGGATGTTTCGCAGTACTTTCGAGATCATTTGCATAGTATTAACTCCAATCTTAAATATAAGATGTTAAGTTTGTATAATTAATTTAAATTTTTAATAATAAAATCTATTACGATCAATTAATTAATAAAGAAGGACATAGTGCACCAAGAAAATGTCTTGATGTTTTGTAATAACTTTTAATGGAATTAGTAAAAGGTTTAGCCAATTTAACCGGTAATTCAATTAACAAACTCTGAAGAAAAAATGTCGTATGGGCCACCACACCCTGTAGCTCTGAAATGTTACGAAGCAAAGCTTGACTAGACCTATCAAAATAAGACCCTTGTGAGAGGCATGGTTGTCAAAGATATGATACTCCCTCCTATTAAAATTCCATTAACCTCAGGCCACTTGAAATCTAGGCCTATAAATAGGTGACAATCCCTTGCCACCTTCAAACCATATCGTGAGTGAGTGATTATCATGGAAACCTTATTCTGCTCCTATATTCCTAATGTTTTGCTGCTATGCTCTCTTATAATATTCGCAACCATGATCTCCCAAGGCATGTGCAGAAGCTTGAGCATTCAGTGCAATGAAAGAGACCGCCATCTTCTTCTAAACTTCAAGCACACTGTGGTTGATCCATCAGCCATCCTCTCTACTTGGTCTGACGAGCGAGACTGCTGTGAATGGCATGGAGTTCAGTGTGATAACACCACCGGCAGAGTCATGGAGCTCAGCCTCCCATGTTCCCAGCAAGATCCCTTTGTTGCTGATTGTGGAGAGAAGAAGCCACACTGTCTCACTGGTGAGATCCACTTGTCATCTTTGCTCCAACTTGAGTTTCTAAATTACTTGGATTTGAGCTTTAATGACTTCCATGCTATCGTTCCAAATGACTATGTGGATGATATCACAGACTGCAATAACCTATCTGTGGCTGACCATACTCATTTTTGCGGAAATTCTTCTATTATGCATTATCTTGATTTATCTTACAATGATCATCTTCACATGGGTAGTCTTGATTGGCTTTATCGTTTCCCGTCCTTGGAATATGTCAACTTCACTGGCATTAATCTTCAAGGGAGAGTTGACTGGATTCAACTACCAACTCTACTTCCTTCAATTAAAGAGTTGTCCTTAGAGAATTGTCAGCTTACAAGCATCAATTCACCTCTCCAGTTCGTTAATCTTACTTCACTCGAAGTTCTCAACCTTTCAAACAATGATCTTAGCTCTGAATTTCCAGCCTGGTTATTCAATCTCAGTGATGTCACTACTATTGACTTGAGCTTTAACTTTTTCCGAGGCCAATTCCCAAAGAGATTATTAAATCTCCAAAAAATAAAAGAATTGAATTTGAATCAAAACAAATTCAGTGGACCAATTCCAGATTGGTTAGGCCAACTTGAACATCTACAAGTCCTTGATGTCAGTGGCAATTTCTTTTCTGGTCCAATTCCTTCAACCTTGGGAAATATGTCATCCTTGATTATCTTGGACGTCAGTTCAAATAACTTAAATGGAAGTCTGCCAGAAAATCTTGGACATCTCTCGAACTTAGAGGATCTAGGCTTTGGTGATAATGACTTGACAGGGTATGTGTCTGAAAGAAATTTTGTCAAACTCTCAAATTTGACGAAACTTTTCATGGGATCACCGAATTTAATCTTTGACTTCGATTCTCTATGGGTTCCTCCTTTTCAACTTGAAGTGATTCGTTTGGATCACATGGTGGGCTCGAAACTTCCTGCATGGATATATACACAAACATATCTTGAAAGATTAATAATTACCCAGTCCATCATTTCATTTGAACCTCGAGAAAAGTTTTAGGATTTTGCAGCACAACTTCCATATATACACCTACAAGACAACACAATTCATGGGGAGATGCCTAACGTGTTGCTAAACTCTACCATCGTAAGATTAAGTTCAAACAACATCAGAGGCAAACTCCCTCGATTATCACCAAATGTTATGATGTTCACTGCAGCACAGAACTCTTTCCAAGGACCCATCTCTCCATTGTTGTGTCAAAAAGTGAATGGGAGAAGCCAATTGCAGTATTTGGACCTGTCTGATAATCTTTTATCTGGAGGGCTTACAAATTGTTGGACAAATTGGAAATCACTGGTTTTAGTCAAACTAGGTGGAAATAATCTAACAGGCACAATCCCCCCATCCATTAGTTTGTTGTCTAACCTTAGCACTTTGGATCTTAATAAAAATAATTTATTTGGAGAAATACCTTGGTCGTTGGTAAATTGCCTGAAGCTGCAGGTCCTTAATCTAGGCGGAAATCAATTATCTGGATTCCTAACGAATTGGATGCCGAAAAATGCAAAGATTCTTCTACTAAGATCCAATCAACTTAGTGGAAGTATACCACCCAAAATATGTCAACTGGCTTCTCTTGTAATATTGGATTTTGCAGACAATAGATTATCTGGTTCATTACCTATTTGTCTGCAAAATCTGACAGCCATGACTTTCCCCAATTCTTCTAATAATGGGGTTTATAGCTTTTGCATTAGAACTCCAATTTTGACTTATGTAGTCAAGGTCGAGGTTATGTTGCACACAAAAAACCAAGAATCGATGTTTGACGAAAACTTGAAGTTCTTGCATGCTATTGATCTATCAAGTAATAGTATCTCTGGATCAATACCTCCAGAAATATTTAATCTTACTGGATTGGAATCTTTGAACTTGTCCCATAATCAACTTGGGGGAAACATACCAAATGAGATCAACAACATGAAAAATTTGGAGTCTCTTGATCTCTCAAGAAATCAACTTTCAGGTGAAATTCCCCCAAGTATGGCTAAATTATCTTTTCTGGAGGCCTTGAACCTCTCCTTCAACAATTTCATCGGGAAGATTCCATCAGGAACTCAACTTCAAAGGTTTGATGCACAAAGCTATATTGGGAATTCTGAATTATGTGGGGCCCCACTTCCAAAGAATTGCACAAAACAAGATGGCGAACCCGTTGAAGGAAATGACAGTCAAAAAGATGAATTTCTATCTTCATTCTACTTTGGATTGGGGGTTGGATTTGCAACGGCTTTTTGGGGAGTCTGTGTTGCCATTTTCTCCAACAGAAATTTTAGACATTCTTACTTCAGATTCCTCTATCACATCAGAGACAAACTTTATGTCATAGCGGTCTTCAGGATGAACTATTTCTGTCATTGAAGACCTAGTTAGCTTTGTGGTGAGTGAAAAACAACTTCTTATTTTAAGTTTTGACTAAGTTCTTTTAAATGTTATAATATATTCTAGAACTATGAATATCTTATATTATTATCACAAATATAGACATCACGAAATCACCAAGACATGCTTTGGATTTTATAAATTTAATATTTTGGAGATGTGATACACTTGTAATTATGTTAAATTTATATACTATGCAGGTTCTTGCAGTAATGTATGCTTCCGTAAGTCTGCTCATCAAGTCTTTTAGACTAAGGTAGGATGAAGTGATGATATTGATAATTGATGAAAGCATATTACCAGTGAAGTGAAGTTTTTAGTCTGTGTGTTACTTTAAAGCCGTGTAATATACATAGTTCTATTTTCTGCATACAATTTGTATCCTCAATAAATACATGTGTCCTTAACTAGAGGAAATTAAAATATTTCTTTTCTTTAAAAAACAAGAGGAAATGGAATGACCTAAAGTTTTTATATTTACTTGAAAGGGAGTTTTAAATGGCCAACGCCTCCCCCGTACTCCTATTAAGGCACATATGCTTATTTTAAGTACTTATAAGTATTTTTATGTAAGGCGAAATAAAATTTTTATCACATACTTACATCTTATTCTAATTGAGATGTTTTATACTTAGAAAGTAAATAAATGCATATAATTCCGTCTATGGAGTTGATAAATCACATTGACACCAAGCATCCAGCCAACTTACACAAGAAGCCATGAAATTGAAAAATCACATCAAGACTGGAGCAACAGTGAGCACTTCAAAAGATTTTCATTTAGGGATGAATGAAAATTATTGAACTCTTAATTAGAAAAATGATGATGATAAAATGGGTTAAAAAAGTCTGTCGCTAAATTCACCTTTAGTTTGGCAAGTTTCATATAAAATTATCCGAACTTTTTGTCAAATTAGTTTGAGACAGATCCCATCAGAGTTTTTTTTTTTCTTTTTTTGGGTTACTTTCTTTTTTATGAAACTTAAAATTTCGCATCAATTAGAACGCGAAGGAATAACAAACAAACAAACATGCTACGCTTGGTCTGTACACCCTGCAGAGGTATCTTCTTTTTTTGGTTGGTACCAATGCGCTCTGGCAAAGCATCTTATTGTGGGAAAACTTAGGCGGTTATTTGGCTATTTTACAAATTAAGATAAACTTTTTTATATATTTACTTTTTATATCATAAAATCACTTTTAAAACTGTAGTTTTAATTCTATCCAAACACCCCTTTAATCACTTTACAAAACAAAGGATAAGAAAAAGGTGCCACTGTTATGCATTGATGTAAAATAAAACTAAGCCCTTTGGCCCAAAAAAATAAAATTAAGCCCAACATCGGTTGCAATTGTAATGGGCCCAGCTAGACGGCTGGAAATCAATTATTCGTTTTTGTGGGCCAACGGAAATTAATTATTTTTTTTGGGCCATCAGAAACTAGTTATTCATGCTCTTGAATGGCTTCCTCGTCTAGCGTCTTTGACGGAGAAAACCAGGGCCCAAACTTTGCTCAGACCAGCATCTTTCATTAAAGGTATCACCATTTAACATCTGATCATCAGAGCAACTAAACATTGCAAGAAGGAAAATTAGACCCCCAGATCTACATCCCCAGTAGCCTCACGACTTTTGAATATTTTGGAGGCGGCTCTCTGTTCTGGCTCAACCTGTTCCTCAAACCAATCTGGGCTAGGGTGTCAGCTGCCCCTTAAGTGTTGCCCCAACTATGCCTTAATTTTAGAACTCTTCTCAAATATTTTTTTAATATTTTTTTAACATTAGTTTCAACATCAAACGAGTGACATTTTGATATCTTATTGTAAAATGGCTTAGTTTTCATTTTTTAATAATTTTAAAAAGATTTAACATTTTAAATGGTTTGATTTCTTTTTAACTTAGAGTATTAAATCTTTAAAAAATCATAAAAATTTGAAAACTAAACAGTTTTTACAAATAAAATATTAAAATATCACTCATTTTATGTAGAATAATTAAAAAAACTGTAAAAAAAAAAATACTCTTCCTGTCCTAAATTAAAAGGGAGCTGAAGGGCAGACCCAAGGGGCAGCTGGCGCCCCTGCCCAACGAAACTCGTTACAATGGAGTGACTTCAAAAGGGAGATTTATTTCCCTATCTAGTATATCAGAAGCCATGAAGTAGAGGTGGTAATGCGGGCTGACAGTGTGAATACGGGCCAGCCCGCGACGGTGCGAGCCCAAAGCGGTGCGGGCTGAAGTAGCCTGCACCTTGACGGGCTGGCAAAGCCCGCCTATATATTTTTTTAAAAAAATAAAAACTATTATTAATATAAGTTGAGCTTAATTTGAAATATTAAAATTAGGCTCCGAATCTTGAATTTGAGTAGTGAGTTATGATAAAATAAAGTGAAGATTAATTTATAATTTAAGAATATATTTTTAAAAACTAATATATTTTTTATAAATAATTAATTTAACTAGTTTTTTTATTCAAAGTAATTTAGTTTTCTTATCCAAATTAATTAAGTAGATATTTTATGTATAAATGTATAAGTATCACATGTTTATTTAATTTTATAAAGGCTTTTATAGTGACACAACAAATAAATGAAAAATAAAAGATGGATGATGATCTTCGTATAACTACACACAGAATCACAAATATATAAAGTGTTTAATTACTTATGCAATGATATGAAAGAAGCAATGTTTAATTGTTCATGTAGAATTTGAGAGTCAAAATATTAGAAATTATATGAAAAATTTTAAAAAAAAAAAAAAGGGCCAGCCCGCCAACCTACGGGCTAGCCCGCGGCGGAGCGAGCTCAAAACGGTGCGGGCTGAAATAGCCTACACCTTGGCGGGCTGGCGGACCCAGCCCGTATTACCGGCTCTACCATGAAGCCTTACCTGAGCTCTCTGCACTGCGGCCTCTAGTACCAGCATCTTCTTTTGCTTCTTTTTCCTGAAATCGTCCACGCAGTTGGATTTGGGGTATCAGCTGCTCCATCTTTGTTGCCTTCTCTACTACCCTTCAATTTTCTCCTACTTCCTAAATATTTTTTCTTGTTTCTTTTTACCATTGCATTCTATACAAAATGAATGAAATTTTGATATCTCATGTGTAAAAAAAAAAAAATGGTGTTGTTTTCAATTTTTTATTATTTTTCTACCGTTCTTTTTTACCAGAACTTTTCTGCAAATTCTGCAGTCTTTATATATATATTGCCTTGTACAAACCCTTTTTTCTCATGGCAATGAGCTAACTAAAGCCTCCATAATGCTTTAATGACTCTTCACAAAGAATGAATAATGGAATAGCAAGAACCTTAATTATTCTGACTTGAATGAAGACGAAGTCAATGTATAAGAGGAAGTAAAGTAAAGCTTAGTAAGCTTAATTAAAGAGAATCACTATCAAAACACCAAAAATAATCAATGATTAGGGACAAAACACGCGGCTTTTGGGACCCTTAGCAAAGGGCTGTGTTTATGAACATTTAAGGGATATTAGACATAGGATTTTTCTCCTCACCACGGAATTCTATTTTACCATTACTTTCTTGCCATTCCATCTTTTTCGCCAAAGATTATAAATGAAAAAATAGACCTCCTATTTTATTTTTGGGATCAGTGTATCAAGAATTTGCTTTATTGAAACTCGGCATCCTTATTTCGTCATTGCTAAATTTCTAAGATGCTTTCTGTCATTTTCCTCATAAGCATCGATCAAAAAAAAAAAAAAGAGTTCCGCTTCATAATAAGTTTCATTCATTTGTATATTTTAAAAAGGTATTAAATGCTTTATTTCTTATTTTACTTCTTATTAATGCACTTCCTATTGGTTAAAAGATGCGTCGCAGCTAGACAACTTCTTTA